ACTTGGGTCACTTGTTTTAATCAGCTAATATACAAGTAGTCAAGTGAAGCAAAAGCAGCTGCTGCTTCTTGCTTAATGACCATATTCATACGAGAGATCGCTATTTATTGGGCAGGTTATATGATATAAGGTTTCTGCAGTACAGAGTTTCATCATTTGATAATTTCCATCATTAATGGTGAAGCATTTTCTAGTTAAGAAGTACACTACTTATTTACAATGGCGCAGGCACCAATTCGGTGCAATGCAAGATGTCAATTGGATGATAAATTTTCGAGAAACTGTCAAGACTTGATTATACGACCCAGGCCCCGAGGCATGAAACTGAGATAGTGAGTTTCGATTAAAAATCTCAACAGAATAATTTATTCTTAGAAAACGGAAGAGAAGAACTGATGTTGATCTTACATCAACAGAATTTACAGGTCAGGTAAACCTAATAATAGTGGCTGAACCTGAACAAAGCTTTCTTCAAGTTGAAGGCGCCATTTAAAAACATAGAGCTGATTGAGGTAGCCGAGGAAGATGTAGTTATAGGTAGATGGGCCTAGATAAGGGTAGTAGATGGACCTGAACCAACATTAAAACAGTGGCTAAAACGACAACTCAAGCTAAATCCAGGGTACTGGTCCATAGGCTAGTTGTGCTGACTAAATTCTGACAGAGTGGGGAAGAAATTCAGCCATGATGTTGTATCTGTAACATTTCCCGTGCAATAGAGTCTTTTAATTTATGGTTGATATATTATATCTTGATTTGAGCTCGGGAGAGCCTTAAACTTGATCTATTTAAATAAAATAAAAGAAAGGAGAGTCCTATGAACACTGAACAGTTGCACTTCCTTGATTTGCTTAGAGTAGAAGGTGGGTGTTGTGTACTAATTTGTTGAATTTGTATAATTTGGGTTAGGCAATGGTAGTACTTATGTGTTAAAGTCATACTACCACCTGCCATAAAGGAAGGTTTATAAAACAAGCGTAGAAATTTGGCATGCCCAACTTTATCTTTCAATTGAGGGACACCCCCTTTTTATTGTGCATTAATAGCATGTACCCCTAAAATTCTGTCATCTTGTTTTTTTTTTTTTTTTCATTTAATGGGACCATGTTTATATGCCCCTTAATCAACTTCATACACTTCTCAACTACCCTTTTTTTTCATTTATAATTGAGGCCTCATCGATGCCTTCTAAACTAAAATGTATTTTTAAAAAAAATATTAAGCAAACGACTTTTTGTGGCTTTTAAAATCACTTTTATTACTCAAATTTATATTCCGTTTTCATTCGACATTTTACGACCTACAACCCCCACACATTCTCTTCCTGATGATCACTCACCAAAACCTTAAACCTACTCTTCGACCTCGCAGTCGCCAATAATCGAGCGATTAGGGTTTGCGTAACTCTCTCTCAGTCAATTTCATCATTCCACCATTAATTCAACTTTCCACCACAAAAGACTCTGGCCTCCCTCTTCAAGCCCCACATAATGGACTGAGTTGCTATTTATTTGCCGTCATTATAAATTTGGGTAGTAGAATGGTATTTTAAAAATTGTATAAAAAAGTGTCATTAACCATTATTTGGGTGGGAAAAAGTCATTAACTTAAAAAAAAATTATAAATATAAATTTCCAAGGCCATCTTGTTAGCTCCAATCCGGGCTAAGGCCTAATTATAATATCTCAAATTTAATTTTAATTTTTCTATGTTAAACAAATGTGTTTTGTTTTATAAATACATCTAAATTTTGATTTTAAAAAATTAATAAAATAATATATAGTAGAGAAAAAACATTTTAAAATCTGGGTTTATTTCATTAATAAAAGTATGAGGGGTCTCAGTCTCACCATTAATACGAGTAAAGTATGAAGATGATACTAGAGGAAGAGTGTATATGATGATATTTGGGTATGTATGTCTCTTGAAAGGTGGAATCAGACGGTGAGTAATTGTGACAAGTCACAAAAGTTTGATTTAAAGATCTAGGAATAATACGATCATGTGACTAGTGACTCTCGTTTAGTTTCCTCGTATGAATAAGGCAATTACAAGCCATATATATATATATATATAGAGAGAGAGAGAGAGAGAGAGAGAGAAAACAATATTCATATCAGCATCAGCATCTAAGCTTTAAACCGAGAATAGTACGTGAAAAGAGTATGTAGCTCCAGAACCAAGTTCCCTTTTCCCACCACAGAAATGTGTAGGGTTTTGGTTTGGTCCCCCCTCTCTCTTCATTCTGTGCCTCTCTTACTATTGACAAAAATAAGCAAAGTGTTTATGTTGCTACAAAATGCTATAAAAAACCAACCGAGCTTACATTTCTGGCTTTCCCCATTTCAGAATGAACTTGTAGCCATTTTTATCCACCATCAACTTTCTCCTACGAATATCTTGGCCGTTTGATTTTTTTGTTGATAATTTTGTAGATGGATTGTCTTTTTTCTAGGTTTGGGACCATTTCCTAGGTGAAAAGTGGGGGACCATCATATATACAATACAAGTTATTATTCTATTTTTTTTTTTTTTTTTAATTGAAAATTTGGATCTTTTATCTCTAGCATATCAAACAAACAAGTTGGTTTTGTAGTATTCAAAGTTATGACTGTGTGTATTTTTTTACTAATATTCCCCTTCAAATGGCATAGATGGATTCGTTCAGTACAATTACTACACTAGAGAGTGAGACATTCTCTGTATTTTCTTAGACCATATTATATTTTGCCCAATCACATCTAATTTATTATTTATCAATATTCCTATTTTATATATATAATAGCTAGCTAGATGTTGTTATATATAACTGGCATAATTAATTCAGAAAATACATATAAACTACCTTGAATGACAGTGTCCCATATTAAATTTGGTAACCAAATATTTTCAATGAAACGGTGATTGTGATTATTGGACCTAATAATCATGTGAATCAGTTCAGTAGTCACAGACAATATCATTTTATTCTCAAATAAAATTAATGACTTTAATTTCATCCACGTTAATCATTTTTTTGATTTATTTGCACACCAATTTTAAGAAACTATTTTTCAATATAATTATTGGTAACAAAATAATATTAATATAAGGCACACTGCTTTATCTGTCATCTTCTTTAATAAATAATAATTGTTTTAACCTTCTATGGAGTCCTGTTACAGTTATAGTTACGCATATGAGTCACGTTGTTATTTAATCTTCAAGATATTTAATCCTTGTGGGTCCCTTTGGGTCAACTGTCTAGTTTGCCAATATATAAGTAGATACTATCGACACCGTCCAATGTTTCCAACGCTGGTAAAGTATTATGAAGCTCAATCAACTTGGCCCAGATGAGTGTTTTCCGAGAGTTGTATTTATGATCCTCAAATCTGCGTATCAACATATATTTAGTTGGTTGCACGTAAGATCACCGGTGCGAGATGCACCAAATCAACAATTATATTTAATCATAATAAATAATAAAAAAAATACACGTGTATATAGAAGCGGATTCTGAAATCTTTTTCTTGGAAAGGAAGGAGTGGTAGAGATGGTTATTATAGGAAAAGAAAAGAAAGAAGATACGTGGGAAAGTGGGCTGGTAAAGCTATAATACAGATGACAGAACCGTATATAATCAGTTGCGTAATGTTTGAATGGGTGTGTATCTGTCATTCGTTGTATTCACCTTGGCAATCATGATCCATTTCAGGCTGATTGATTTGACTGAGATAGGATTTTTCTTGTGTTGAAAGAGCGATTGTTGGACATTAACAAATATTATATCAATAATACTATACTTACAAAGATTTTCATACAAAGTGAGGTGACAAAAAATGAATGGAATGGTGAAATAAAAAGTCAAACTCATTAAATTCACTCTTCCATTCATTTTTTGCCACATCACTTTGTATAGAGATCTTTGTAAAAAATTTTGTAAGTGTAGTATTACTCATATTATATATACAAAAATAAGAGTAAACGACTTTTCCCCACCCAAGGTTTGCCTTAATGCCACTTTTCCAACCAAAAAGTTTAAAAATATCATTTTCACACCTGAAATTTATACTCCGTTAATACCTAAAATACACATCAGTTTCTCAGCCGGCGTTTGGCGAGTTACCAGGAGACAAGGTAAGAGGGGTATTGTAAAGTGGAGGTCGGTAGATTGAATGGTGATGATCGATTGAATACTTGCCACTGGAATCTATTGGAAATCAGCTAAGAATAAGAAACTCTAGTTTTACGATGGCTGACAATCGACGAAAAATCAGGTGCCAGATGAGAGGGGTTTTGTAGAGAAGAGACCAGAGGTTCAAATGATGGTGACGGAGATAATTTTCACCGTCGGAATCAGCTTTAAGTATTAATGGAATATAAACTTGGGGGGGAAAGTTGTATTTTGAAACTTTTTGGTTGGAAAAGGGTTATTAAGGCAAACCTTGGGTGGGAAAGAGTCGTTTACTCACAAAAATGATTATCCTTGGTTTAAATTAAGTCACAATACAAATGGTATGGATAAATATTTCAAACTTTCATTTAATTCTATTTTGTGAATATCAGCGTTTATTGTTATCTCATGTCATATTTAAAAATTTTACAAAATTTGGAAAGATTAATCAGACATATTTTAAGTATATTTATTTGAAAATTTAAAATCTAATTTATTAGATATAATTGAAAAATAATTTTCAAGGTTTTATCTTTTTTAATTTGTTAAAATAAAAGATAACCTCCGTCATGTGAAGAAAAATAATCAATCTTTTATTTTCTATTATAATTTTATTAAATTTAACATGTTAAAGTTTGCTTTTACCCAAGTAATTATAAATGGATTTTTTTATAAAAAAATAAAAAAATAAACAAGGAGCGACCTGATGTAAGACATAATATTAGGTGAAACTGTGAAAGTGAAAAACGTGGGACCAAACAAAGCATGAAACCGTTAGATTATGATCATAAAAAATTTTGAATTAGGGTTTGTCTTGTCAGTCGTCACTTCCCACTACAACTATATAAGCCATCCATCTCTAACTCAGCCGATGCGGTGCCGCCCGTGCTGCCCACATCCCTATTCTCTTCTCCTCCTCTACAAACTTTCCTCAAAAAGAAAAACAAAGATTATTTATTCATTTATTCAGTTATTTTTTTGGTTCCTTTAATTGTTGGAAACAATGGCTCAGGTTCAGGTCCAACCACAAGCTCCAGTGACTGCTGCTGCAAATGGAGTTGCAGGCCACGGTGTTGGAGTGCAACAGTTTGTGTCAACAGCTCTTTACATTGGAGATCTTGACCCCAATGTCAACGATTCGCAACTTTATGATTTCTTTAATCAGGTGGGTCAAGTCATGTCTGTTCGGGTCTGTAGAGACTTGAGCACCCGCCGCTCTCTCGGTTACGGCTACGTTAATTATAGTAACCCCCATGATGGTTAGTTTAGTCCCTTTAAACGCTTTGTTTTTTATGGAATTGAGTTTAAATTGTAATGCATATGCACTGTTTGTTTTAATGCATAATGTTTGTCTGTGGTCTTGCTTTTGTAAACAAATGTATTGAATATGAATTAATGACATAAAATGAAATTTAATTAGCCAATGAATAAAGAATACAGCTAAGACAAATCTAACTCATTGGCTAAATATGTTCAACATTTACAGGAGCATGAGTTTTATCAATAGCAATATTGCAGTTCATTGTACAGAAGCTTGTAATCGATTTTTGTTATGGTGAGACTTATCGGATTGGTTTGGTTTTAGTTTTATATCGCAAGATACTTGAACAGTTTTAACATTTTATGCTATCATTTACATCATCTAGAAGTGAAAACAACTATTAAAATTGAATTAGATGGAGATTGCATATGATTTACTGGAGGTGAAAGCAATCGAGTTATTGTTTTCTTGATTACTTGATAAGTCTTAAAATATAACAAGTGCCTACTAAATGAACATCTAGGATTGTTATGCATACTAAATGCCTACAACTGCTGTACAATATTGCAAAAAACTTATAAATGAACAACTAGGATTGTTATGATAAGAATGCGTATGCAAACTTTGGGAATGGTAAAAAATGAAATTGCTGTGATTGATGCCGACTCTCCTTGTGTTTTTTTGGTTGCAGCAAACAGCTGAATGTATTTTGAAAATATATTGTAACTCCTGTTCTATTGTTGCTATTAGTCTTCGGAAGTTTTGCTGGAAATAATTTTGTTTATTTTTTTTATCGATGACAGCGGCAAGGGCTTTGGATGTTTTGAATTTTACTCCTCTGAATGGCAAGCCAATTAGGATAATGTACTCTTATCGTGACCCTACTATTCGTAAAAGTGGGTCTGGAAATATATTTATCAAGGTATTTTGCACGAGTATCATTATGTAAACTGTTAAGTTGGCAGTTTATATGCCTATTTTCTTCATTATACCACTTTTACTAATTTTGTTGTTTGGTTTTTGGCTTCTTTGTCATGGAAGAATTTGGACAAGTCAATCGACAATAAAGCTCTACATGATACCTTTTCGACATTTGGGAATATTTTATCTTGCAAGGTGGCTACTGACCTTTCTGGTCAATCAAAAGGGTATGGTTTTGTACAATTTGATAACGAGGAATCCGCTAAAAATGCAATTGACAAGCTGAATGGCATGCTACTGAATGACAAGCAAGTATTTGTTGGGCCCTTCCTGCGTAAGCAGGAAAGAGATTCTTCTACGGAGAAGATAAAATTTAACAATGTTTATGTTAAGAATCTTTCAGAATCAACAACTGAGGACGATCTAAAGAAATTTTTTGGTGAATATGGAACTATTACTAGCTCTGTAGTTATGAGAGATGCAGATGGAAAATCCAAATGTTTTGGATTTGTCAATTTTGAAGATCCAGATGATGCAGCTCAAGCTGTTGAGGCTCTTAATGGAAAGAAGTTTGATGATAAGGAGTGGTATGTAGGGAAAGCACAGAAGAAGCATGAAAGAGAAGTTGAATTGAAAGGGCGGTTTGAGCAGAGCTTGAAGGAGGCTGTGGATAAATTTGAAGGACTTAATTTATATGTTAAAAATCTAGATGATAGCATCACTGATGATAAACTAAAGGAATTATTCACAGAATTTGGCACAATTACGTCGTGCAAGGTATTTTGGAGCTTACTGATTTACATAATGCGGTAAGTTGTGAACTTATATCTAATCTCTCTCTCTCGCTATTTGCCTTAACAGGTTATGCGTGATCCTAATGGTTTAAGTAGAGGATCAGGATTTGTTGCCTTTTCAACTGCTGAGGAAGCATCTCTAGCTGTAAGTTGAGATTTTTTAATTTTTTTCTTTATTTATTTTTTCATTGATTGTTTTACATCTTTCCTTAACTTTCCCTCCAACTTTTTCTTGTCTCTTTTTTTCCCCTATAGCTCATGGAGATGAATGGTAAAATGGTAGTTAGCAAACCACTTTATGTTGCTCTTGCACAGCGAAAAGAAGAAAGAAGAGCAAGGTTGCAGGTATATCAACTGATAAATTTATTGCCCTATTTCCCATTGATTCCTATAGGTGAAAATATTCAAGGAAACTATGGAATCTTTGAATTAAACTTTTGTGACTAAATTAAAAGGTGGTTGTTCCCTGTCCTACTGCAGAAGTATATTACTATATCTGTTGTTCTTGTTTCTTTTGAAAAAGCTATTTCATGGAGGCTTACAGATTTTAAGTGCAAATCAACTCATGATACATATTTATTTTATTGATAGAAGTGTAGCATACGGTACTAAGAGTTTGCATGGGCCTTTTGCACAGGCACAGTTCTCACAAATGCGTCCTGCTGCTATTGGTCCTGCAGTTGCCCCTCGTATGCCCATGTATCCACCTGGTGCTCCAGGTCTTGGACAGCAACTATTTTATGGTCAAGGGCCTCCTATCATTCCTCCCCAAGTAATTGGTTCTCTGCTATTAATTGATTATCTCATCGTTCTAGTCTATTTCAGTTATTTTGCACACTGGATGGCTCTGTGTCCACTGGATATTATTTTGCTTTGCATGACTGAAGTTAGCTCAGTTATAGTTTTACTCCATTTTAAGTTTTCATAATATAATTATTGTTATTGAATCTTTGTTTACGCTATCCCCTTATTGGGGAGGATGTAAAAGTTACGAACCAAAGGAAATTAACACGAGGGAATGTAATAGCAATATGAATACCGGCTCCTTGGAGGCTTTGAATTCATTATTGTGACTTGACTTTTGGATGTCTCATCTCCTAGGTTCCATTTCTATTTATAGTTAAGCTTGTTTTGTCTATTTAGAAATTTCAAGCAACCAATTCTCATGCCTAGTTGTCAATTGTAGTGGTAATCTATCTATGATGGCATTGATATTATGCTTTCCTCTTTCGAATTTCAGAACTGGTGATGCAATTTAAATTTATTGCTGGTGGTCTCGGGAAGCTTTATCTTTTATATCATTCCTGGAATACGATAAACCATTTTCTAGTTATACTGACGTTGATAGTTTATATTCGGATGCTAACAGCTGGTCTCTTATTTTCCTTTCTGTGATTTATGTCAGCCTGGATTTGGATATCAGCAGCAACTTGTCCCTGGAATGAGGCCAAACTTTTTTGTGCCAATGGTCCAGCCAGGTCAGCAGAATCAGCGGCCTGGAGGCAGACGATCTGGAGCTGGGCCCCTGCCACAAGCACAGCAACCTATTCCACTAATGCAGCCACAGGTATCAGTAATCTGTCATCTAAATTTTCTTTTGTGTGATACTTTAGGCCCAGTTTTACATCAAGTTATCTGTTTTATATGTGCTATTCCTCACAGATGAAATTACTTATTTGGCTGATGATTCTCTTTTATTGTCACGATTAATTGCAGATGCTTCCTAGAGGACGTGTCTACCGCTACCCTCCTGGTCCCAACATGCCAGATGTTCCTATTTCTGGTGGTCCTGGAGGCATGCTTCCTGTCTCTTATGACATGGGTGGAATGCCATTCAGAGATACAACACCTATGCAGACTGGGGCGTTGGCTTCTGCCCTGGCTAATGCAGCACCAGATCAACAAAGGACAGTAAGTTCCTGGCTTTAATTGCATATATTGAAATGTATATTTATGTCTTGACTGTGGTTTGCTGAAAGCTTTGATCCTATACAAAATGAACCAACATTTTGACCATGGGAATTTTTCTTTCTTTTGTGTGTTATATAGTTGCTGGGAGAAAATCTATACCCTCTTGTAGACCAGTTAGAGCATGATAATGCAGCAAAAGTGACAGGCATGCTTTTAGAGATGGACCAGACTGAGGTTTTGCACTTGCTGGAGTCACCAGAAGCCTTGAAAGCCAAAGTTTCTGAGGCAATGGAAGTTTTAAGGAATGTAGCTCAGCAACAGCAGGTTACTAGCCCAACTGATCGGATGGCCTCATTGTCTCTGAATGCTGAATGACAACATCGTTTCTTGATTTCTAGTGCGTGAGTATGGCAATATCAGACAGCACAGCGAGTACTTAATTTTTGCAATAAGTTTTGGGTTGACATTAATTTTTTCCTACTTTAGTTTGACATAAATAGAAGTCAGTTGAATTTTTTTGGTATTGAATTTTCTTTGTAGTGACTAGTGTGACCATAAAGTTATCTGCAGATTTTGTTGAAGTTGCAGTTTTCAATCACTTTAATTCGCATGCTTGTCAAGCCTCTGTATATTGTTTTGATATTGGGTAAATTTCGCGAATATCCGCATGTTAGATTGGTGTATTTTTCATCAGTAACCTTTTTTAGAAGCTCATGAGATCCCGAGGACATTTATGACAAATTTTGGGATCAGCTTGGGTCAACTTGTTTTTAATCAGCTAATATACAAAGTAGTCAAGTGAAGCAAAAGCAGCTGCTGCTTCTTGCTTAATAGATCCATAATTCATACGAGAAGTCGCTATTTATTGGGCAGGTTATTATGATATAAGGTTTCTGCAGTACAGAGTTTCATCATTTTGATAATTTCCATCATTAATGGTGAAAGCATTTTCTAGTTAAGAAGTACACTACTTTATTTACAATGGCGCAGGCACCAATTCGGTGCAATTGCAAGAATGTCAATTGGATGATAAATTTTCTGAGAACTGTCAAGACTCTGATTATACAACCAGGCCCCGAGGCATGAAACTGAGATAGTGAGTTTCGATTAAAAATCTCAACAGAATAATTTATTCTTAGAAAACGGAGAAGAGAAGACTGATGTTGATCTTACATCAACAGAATTTACAAGGTCAGGTAAACCTAATAATGAAGTGGCTGAACCTGAACAAAGCTTTCTTCAAGTTGAAGGCGCCATAATTTAAAATAACATAGAGCTGAGTTTGAGGTAGGCCGAGGAAGATGTAGTTATAGGTAGATGGGCCTAGATAAGGGTAGTAGATGGACCTGAACTCAACATATAAAAACAGTGGCTAAAACGACAACTCAAGCTAAATCCAGTGGTACTGGTCCATAGGCTAGTTAGTGCTGACTAAATTCTGACATAGTGGGGAAGAAATTCATGTAGTCTGTAACATTTCCGTGCAATTAAGAGTCTTTAATTTATGGTATGCATATATTATATCTTGATTTGAGCTCGGGAGAGCCTTAAACTTGATCTATTAATAAAATAAGAAAGGGAGAGTCCTATGAACACTGAACAGTTGCACTTCCTTATTTCTTAGAGTAGAAGCAGTGGGTGTTGTGTACTAATTTGTTGAATTTGTATAATTTGGGTTAGGCAATGGTAGTACTTATGTGTTAGAAGTTCATAACTAACCACTGCCATAAAAGGAAGGTTTATAAAACAAGGCGTAGAAATTTGGCATGCCCAACTTTATCTTTCAATTGGAGGGACACCCTTTTTATTGTGCATTAATAGCTATGTACCCCTAAAATTCTGTCATGTCTTTTTTTTTTTTTTTTTCATTTTAATGGGACCAGGTTTATATGCCCCTCTAATCAACTTCATACACTTCTCAACTACCCTTTTTTTTCATTTATTAATTGAGTGCCTCAGTCGATGCCTTCTAAAACATAAAATGTACTTTAAAAAAAAAAAATATTAAGCAAACGACTTTTTGTGGCTTTTAAAATATCATTTTATTACTCAAATTTATATTCCGTTTTCAATTTCGACATTGTTACGACCCTACACCACCACCATTCTCTTCCTTGATGATCACTCACCAAAACCCTTAAAACCCTACTCTTGTCGACCTCGCCAGTCGCCAATAATCGAGCGATTAGGGTTTGCGTAACTGCCTCTCTCAGTCAAATTTCGATCAATTCCAACCACTGTAATTCAACTTTCCACCACTAAAAGACTCATCGGCCTCCCTCTTCAAAAGCCCCAACATAATGGACTGAGTTTGCTATTTATTTGCCTTCAGAATATAAATTTGGGTAATAGAATGGTATTTTAAAAATCTGTGGATAAAAAAGTGTCATTAAGTCATTATTTGGGTGGGAAAAAGTCATTAACTTAAAAAAAAATTATATATATATAATTCCAAGGCCCATCTTGTGAGCTCCAAATCCTCGGCTAAGGCCTAATTAAATAATATCTCAAATTTATATTTTAATTTTTCTATGTTAAACAAATGTGTTATTGTTTTATAATTACATCTAAATTTTGATTTTAAAAAAGTAATATAAACACAATAATATATTAGTAGAGAAAAAACATATTTAAAATCTGGGTTTATTTTCATTAAATAAAAGATTGATGAAGGTGTCTCAGTCTCATCATTAATACGAGTAAAGTATGAAGATGATACTATGAGGAAGAGTGGGTTAATATTGAATGATATTTGGGTATGTATGTCTCTTGGAAAGGTGGAATCAGACGGTGAGTAATGTGACAAAGTCACAAAAGTTTGCATTTAAAGATCTAGGAATAATACGATCATGTGGCTTAGTGACTCTCGTTTAGTTTCCTCGTATGAATTAAGGCAATTACAAACCATATATATATATATATATATAGAGTGAGAGAGAGAGAGAGAGAGAGAGAGAGAGAACAATATTCATATCAGCATCAGCATCAGCATCTAAGCTTTTAAACCGAGAATAGTACGTGAAAAGAGTATGTAAGCTCCAGAACCAAGTTCCCTTTTCCACCACATGAAATGTGTAGGGTTTGGGTTTGGTCCCCCCTCTCTCTTCATTCTGTGCCTCTCTTACTTATTACTTATTGACAAAAAATAAGCAAAGTGTTTAGTGTTGCTACAAAATGCATATAAGACAACCAACCGAGCTTACATTTCTGGCTTTACCCATTTCAGAATGAATAGCTTGTAGCCATTTTTATCCACCATCAACTTTCTCCTACGAATATCTTGGCCGTTTGATTTTTTTTGTTGATAATTTTGTAGATGGATTGTCTTTTTTCTAGGGTTTGGGACCATTTACTAGGTGATAAAGTGGGGGACCATCATATATACAATACAATGTTATTATTCTATTTTTTTTTTTTTTTTTTTTTTAAGATTGAAAATTTTGGATCTTTTATCTCTAGCAATATCAGAACAAACAAGTTGGGTTTTGTAATATTCAAAGTTATGACTGTGTGTATTTTTTTTACTTAATATTCCCCTTCAAATGGCATAGATGGATTCGTTCAGTACAATTTATACTACACTAGAGAGTAGAGACAGTTTCTCTGTTATTTTCTTAGACCATATTATATTTTGCCCGAATCACATCTAATTTATTATTTATCAATATTCCTATTTTATATTATAATAATAGCTAGCTAGATGTTGTTATATATAACTGGCATAATTAATTCAGAAAATAACATATAAACTACCTTGAAATGACAGTTGTCCCATATTAAAATTTGGTAACCAAATTATTTTCAAATGAAAACAGGTGATTGTGATTATTGGACCTAATAATCATGTGAATCAGTTCATAGTCACAGACAATATCATTTTATTCTCAAATAAAATTAATGACTTTAATTACATCCAACGTTAATCATTTTTGTTGAATTTATTTGCACAACCTAATTTTAAGAAACTTATTTTCAATATAATTATTGGTAACAAAATAATATTAATATAGAAGGCACACGTGTCCTTATCTGTCATCTTCTTTATAAAGAGATATAATTGTTTTAACCTTATCTATGGAGTCTAGTTACAGTTATGGTTACGCATATGAGTCACGTTGTTATTTAATCTTCAAAATATTTTAATCCTTGTGGGTCCCTTTGGGTCAACTGTCTAGATTTGCCAATAGTATAAGTAAGATACTATCGACACCGTCCAATGTTTCCAATCCAAGCTGGTATAAGTATTAATGAAGCTCAATCAACTTGGCCCAGCTCATCCCCTGAGTGATTTTCCGAGAGTTGTATTTATGATCCTCAAATCTGCGTATCACAAATATATTTAGTTGGTTGCACGATAAGATCACCGGTGCGAGATGCACCAAATCAACAATTATATTATAATCACATAAATTAATGATTTTTAATTAGAATAGTTTTTAAAAAATACACGTGTATATAGAAGCGGGATTCTGAAATCTTTTTCTTGGAAAGGAAAGGAGTGGGTAGAGATGGGTATTATAGGAAAAGAAAAAGAAAGAAGAATACGTGGGAAAGTGGGCTGGGTAAAGCTATAATACAGATGACAGAACCGTATATAATATCAGTTGCGTAATGTTGAATGGGGTGTGTATCTGTCATTCCGTTGTATTCACCTTGGGCAATCATGATCCATTTCAGGCTGATTGATTTGACTGAGATTAGGATTTTTATCTTGGGACCTTAGGCTTAGAGAGTACAAGGACATAAATGGAAAATAAAGGGATTGATCATTCAAGGTAAGTTTTTGGACTCCCTAATATTACCCACTTCACTTCTTCTTCAAGTAAAAGCACACCCTCATACTTTTTGACTCTTCTATTAATAAATATTACCATATAATGTAAGAGATGTTTTTATTTGAATTTTCTAATATAAATTGTATAAAAAGCATTAGATGGAGGATGATAGCGTGAGTGTAACGCGCGAGAATAGAGGAGTGGAGAGCTATTGATGATGAAATCTATCAAATCAATTCCAGGTTACAGTGATTTTACCAATAATACCATAAACACCAACACCACACGGGTACTTTGATATTTCTCATCCACACATAAAAACAGAAAAAAGTGATGGTTGTGTACAAAACGGACCAACCGGCCGGCCCAATCATGCAACCGGCCCACCCTTCTCTCTCTCTCTCTCTCTCCCCCCTTTTTCAGTTTTGATTGATGGATGGACGGAGATCTTCAGAAAGATTTGAAACAACTTGTCATCACCAAAAAGAAAAATTAATTTTTATATAAATAAAACCCATTTTCTACCCAAATATTATCACATAGGATTCCTTGTCAGGTTTAAACCTTTTTTATTATATTTTAGGATACGATTGTTTCCATTTATGGGAAGTACACATGAACCCCTGTATATCCCATTATAATTATGTAAATAGCTACCAATAAACTTTTTATAACTATAATCAATTAAATTTATTATTATAACGAGATTATAATTTAATAAAGGTTTAGTTACAAAAATTATTATTAATTTTTATTTTATAATTCATGTTTTAGTAATATTAAGATTTCAATTCATTATTTTAATAACAGTATGATAGTACGA